CGCCGCGTTGCCAGGTCGCCGCGTCGGCGGTAGAAGGGGGCGGCCAAAGCGCTCGAAGAGTCGGGCAAGGCGCAGTTCATCAGCAAGTGCACCTTCGGGCGGTGGCTGGCAGTCGCAGATGGAGACCGCGGCCTCCGCGTGGCCGAGGCCGCGCTCAGCGTGCCCGGGATCAGGAAGGCCTACCAGTGCGAGGACGACATGGAGGAGATGTGCAAAGTCCTGCTCGGCAGCAGGCCCATGGTGGACTTCAAGACGGCGCTGCGGTTGCAGTGCGCGAAGCAGAAGGTATTCGAGACCGCGCGCCAGTGCACGCTAGGGCTGCTTCGCGAGGCTCCGAATCGCGCGTGGTTCATTCAGAAGGGCACCGTGCCGATGGGCGTGGGGCCGAATGCCGAGCTTGAGTGGGCGGTGGAGGCGCAGCTGAAGCAGCTGGCCAAGCCGGGAGTAATGACGGAGGCGAAGTGGCCAGGAGGTTTTCTCACGCAGCCCGTGACGTTGCTCACGGTCCGAGGCGGCATTTGATATTTCGGACCATGGCGGCTGGTTGCAGCTCGCATGCGGCTAAACTTCTACTGGGAGTGTGAGCGTACCGCAGTGAGTTGCAAGCGCGTTTGACATTTTTGAATATATCGTATCATGCAACTTCTGGTTGAGGCAGTTCGCCACAATGAATGGCCGCTGTTTCGTCCCCCCGATATCGATCCTTCTCTTCCTTTGCGGGTCCATCTCCGCAGACGGGGGCGCGCTCGCGGTCGGGCGCTGCAGCGCTCGCCTCATGCCGCAGCGGTCTGTAGTCGAATCGCTTCGAGAATCAGGCAGGTGGTTGTAGCAGCGTTTGGTAGCGGCCCGGTCTCAGCTTATAACGGAGGGGCCTAGGTGCTTCGCGCTCGGTTGCGGTGGCGAAACAGGCTGCCCCCAATTGAACGCCCACCTGCCTGCCACCTTTTCCTCTCCTCCTCCCCCTCCTCCCTCACTGTGCTCGCCTGGGGTTTCCCATTCGCCCGCCCCCATCGCTCCTCTGTGAGCCGTCCTCCTCCGTCCTCCGCGGTCCTCCCTCCTCCGTCCTCCGTCCTCCTCCCTTCCCCCCTTGTGCTCGTCTGGGGGGCCCTTCGTGGGGGAAACCAACGCCAGGTCGGGCCGTGGATTTGTCCATCGTGGGTGCGTCGTGGGCGGCCTTTTCTTGGAGAAGGGGGGGAGGACAGGGCCCGCGCCCGGAGGAACCTCGCGGCCGGGAGTGCCCCCTCTCCAAAGAAGACCCTCCCCCAAGTAGGCCGCGCCCCCTCCTTCATCTTCGGCCCCCCCTCCTCCTGCTCCCTCCTCCCCCTCCCTCCTGCTCCCTCCTCCTCCTCCATCCTTTTCCTTTTCCTTATTCCCTCCTCCTCCCTCCTCCTCCCTCCTTCTTCGTTTCATCCTTCCTTTCCCTGCCCCCCCTTTTTCCTGCTCCGTCTTCCGTCCTCCGTTTTCAATCGGGCTGGGCGAAAGGGGGGGATTGGGTGGAAAAGGGGGGTCACGAAATCTGCTGCATGCACTTGGTTTCGGCCCCACCGAGGGGCCCATTCCTCGATACATGGCCGAGGCGCATGGAAAGTCCGATACGTGAGCTGATTCTCACCCCCCCCTTTGTTATCCCCCCCTTTCGCTTGGCCCGATTCAAGTTCATGTCGAATTGTGTTGTCGTTCATGCCTGATCCCGCTTGATTTTCCTCCTCCTCCTCCTCCTTCCCTTGCGCTGCTCCTCCTACTCCTTCCCTCGTGTTCTTCCTCCCTCCTCCATCTACCCTCCTTCCTGTCTTCGCTATCGCTCCCCCCTCCGACTTCCTCCTTCCTCGTCCTCCCTCGTCCTCCGCCCTGCGTCGTCTATCTCCCTCCTCCTCCCGTCCTCCTCCTCCGATTTTCGTTGATCCCCTTCGCTTGGCGGGTTTCGCCTTGAAGATGCTCTGCACAATGTCCGTATCCTGGGGGCGCCTAGTTTGTGAGGCCATTCGGATTGGGAGGTCGGAGGTTTCGTGCCGGACTAGGTGTTTGCGGGGGTTGAGGCTTTTCCAGGCTGCACCCAGTCCACGCACTGGGTCAAGGTCTATCTTTACAAGGTGTTGGATTTCGCGCGTGTGCATGTCTTTCCAATGCCTATCAAGGCGTACGTTAGCAACGTTCGTCGGATCCTGAAGTGGTTTCATGAGGAGGCGGTCTGCCAGGTCCTGCCGGCCGTGGTCTGGCTGTTCCACCGCCTGGAGCAGGCAGGAACCATCATATCGGACAAGAGCGCCTATGACTGTTCTGATGTATCGTTGCAGCGTGACGTGGATACAGTCGGGGCCCTGAAGAAGGAACCCTTTTCGTTGGGGAGGGGCTCCGCGTTCCTTTAGTGCTTCACAGCTTTTCTCAGGTTGTCCTTATGTTTTCGATCGGACATCGAAGTTTAACTTATGGAAACAAGGGGCCTCGTTCCTTATTTGGGGTTCCTTAGGTCAAGCCCCCGACTGTATTCTTATTGCCAGTGCTGGTTTTCGCAGTCGATCGACCTGCTGGTGAGGTTCGTCATGTGGGGGGTCATGGCCGCGGCAGGTAAGAGGCACAGTGCGTCCAAGACTATGCAGAAATATCGGGCGGCCAAGAAGAACGTCCCAAGGGTTTGGGCCTTGTCAAAATTGGTGGGAAGGGCTGGGCGGCTCTACAAGCCGGCTGCGCTTGTGGTTAGTTCCTGGGGTCACGGGGTGGTTGGGCTCGCTCCCTCCCGGATTCAAACTGCTCGTGCCCAAGCGGCCGCTTGTTCTGGGTGGTGGGCCCGAGGGGCGTGCACTGCTTCGGCTTTGGGGTTGGCTGGAGCTACCGAGAGGTGACCCCCAGTCCAGGCATCGTGATGGGCAGCTTATGTGTTCTGGCTTGCGAGGGTGTGGAATGTGCTGGAACATAAGCAGCTTCTATTGTTTGGTCACACCTGGACCAAAACACGAGCTGAGTCCGAAAGTGTGAATTATTGATGGCACGTGGTTCGGGGCCCCATTGCTGCCACGATTGCTGTTGTTCTCGGCTTGTCTAGGACCCGATCTTTCCCGTGAAGTGGCATACTCCGGACGCCACCCTTTGCGCCTTTGATGTGCACGTTCTGTCTGCCGTGTTGGAGCAGTTGACTGGACCTGCTCCTCCCTGTCCTGGCGGCAGATTCCCATGCGCTACACGGGTGAATGGCTTGACGGAGGAGTTGGTTCCACGGAGGATCAGAGGGTGCTCGATAAGCTGAGCGAGGATGGTGGGGGTGAAGGCAGCGGGGATCTTCCGCAACGTCACTACTGCTGGCCAGTGGACCGAGCATCGTCTGGTTGCCGCACGATGCAGCTCGCTGGCCAGCGGCAGGTGTGCCAGGTGCGGGAGCTCAGATGCCGCCCTCATCCATCGTTTCCGTCTGTGCGGTTGCAATCAGCGTGGAGCCCACCGCTCGGTTGGCGCAGCGAGCTTTTTGCCGAGCCTGAGCTCTCCTGCCGCTTGTTTCGAGGCCTTCCGCCGAAGGCCGCTTCGTGTGGCCGCTTTCCTTTGCCCCATGCGCGTGTCTGAGAGTGGGGGGCGGCTGGAAGGAGGGGAACTGATTGATGGGGAGCTCGGGGGAATCGACGAATTGGGAAGCACTGGAGGCTCCGATGTTGCCGTTTGTCGATTGGCCATTTAGGTCTTACCGGCTTGCTTGGCGCCGTGCTCAGCGGATCCCTCCAGACCAGGCGTCAGACTACCGTTTGTTCGGGGCTGTATGCCCTCATTCAGGTTGCTGCGAATGCGACTGGACACTGCCGCGTGTATTGCGACTGCCTGGGGGTTGTGAAGGGGCTAGACGGCCTTCGAAGGCAAAGTCCAAGACTGACATGCAGGACCCATGGGCCGAGTACCATCGTGCCTCGCAGGCCCAAAGAGGCTCCTTTACCGTTTTCTGGACCGAAACATGCTGTCGCCTGATGCCGAGCTTTAACTTGACCGCGCCGCCGATCATTTTGCTAATGCCGCCGCCGCGATAATGCAGGTTTCCGGTGAAGATTCGGCTGTGGCGGCAGAGGCTGTTCGGTTGGCAACGGATGTGTTGTACCGGCTGATTGCCATTCAGCGTGAGGTTTTGTTTTACAACGCGCGGGCTCGAGCGGAAAAGGTCCCCAACTAATCATGAACCATAGTGCCAGCTTCGTGGAGAGAATGTGCCACCTCCGCGATGCTGGCCATGCGCTTGTGAAAAGTAACGATATGGTTCACTGTGCTGCCTGCGCGCGGAGTTTCTCATTACAAATCCAGGACTGCAATGTCTGGCCTGGCCCTTGCAAGCCTGGGTGCGTGATGCGGCAGCGGATGCAGCTACTACCTCGCCGAGAAGGTAGGAAGAATGGTGAACCTCACCCTGTGGACGATTTCGGACCGACGGAGGATGGAGGTGCCTTGGATCATCTTCTTGCGGGACAATGTGGCTGCATCCATAACCTCGCAGTGGTGCAAGGAGTTCTTTCTTGCACCACCTTGGGCGGTCTCTGTGCGATTTTGCCGCATCGCACGTTGAAGGGGAGTTGCAGCCCGCCCTTGAAAGCAGGGCGGACATGCTGTCCCGGCTCCGAAGAGGCCTGTCGCCCGAGTCGGGCACATGTTTCCCCGACCTTGGCTGCTCTGTTATGCAGCCGCCTGCCTAGCTGCAGCACCCCATGCGGAGAGGTAGAGATAGAGATCGAGATAGAGACAGAGATAGAGAGAGGGCGGGAACTATAAGTATAGAGAGATGGAGGAAGAGAGAGAGAGAGAGAGAGACAGAGAGAGCGAGAGAGAGAGAGAGAGAACTAGAAGAACAAAGACTACTCCTCTCCCTCCTCCTCCGCCTCCTCCTCCTCCTTTCGTCCGCTTCTTCCTCTTCCTCCTCCATCCCTGCCTCCTTCCCCCCCTCCTTCCTCCTCCCTTCCTGCTCCTATCTCCTCCACCGCCCCGGGCGCGGAACCAGAGCGGTCGGCGCCCCCGCCCCCCCCCCCCCCCGCCCAAAGCTCCTCCACGCCGCCACCGACGCCGAGCACGGCCACGCCATGCAGGGCACGCTGGACCTGATGCAGGCGGGCCCTCTGCCCAAGTTCGGTGGCGAGCCTGGGGGGGAGTCGGAGAGGGCGGGCCTTCGCAGGAGGCTCGCAAGCTAGGCGATCGCAGACATGGGGCAAATTGGTGTGGATTAGCGACGGGTCCCGTTTCCATGGGACATCGGGGACTTCCGCCGCCGAGCGAGGCGGCACCGGCCGCATTTTGGGGAGGGCACCTCCCCCGACCCATGGGTTTGGCGACCGCGCGCCAAATCCATGGATCGCTAATCCATGCTTGCGCGCCCCCGAGCAAGGGCTCCGGCTTTCTGGCATGTCTTCCAAGCGTTCTCTGAGACGGCTTCTCGGAAGGCTGGAGGGCCTCTGAGAAGCCCCGCCGCCTTCCGACGAGGCCCGCCCCCAATCACTCCCCCCTTGGGCTCGCCGCCGACAGACCTTCTCGCGTCGCGAGGACACCAAAGTGCGACGGGCTTGTTTTCTGGGGGGTCGGCGGGGCTCTGGGGGTTCTCGCCGGGTCACAGGATCGTCAAAGAGCGACCCGGTATGAAGAGCTGGTCCTGGAGAGTGCGTCGACGCTTCCAGTGGGCCCGCGTTTCGGGGGCCCCCCAACGGGGTGGTGACCACACCGTGTGGTGAGTCGGTGGGGATTCGGGGTCACCGCACGGTTTTGGGACTCGAGTCCCTCTCCGAAGATTTCTCTGGCGACAGGGGCCTCCGAGGTCCCAACACCGTGCGTTGACGGACCGTGCGGTGAGGTCTTGGGGGATTTCGAAGACACCGCACGGTCTGTCACCGCACCGTTTCGAGACTCCAAAGCGTTGTGAGAACATAATCTGGAGCCCGATCTTCTCCGCGCCGACGTCGCCCACGCACCGCCGATGCATCGGTGATGCGGAGCGATCCTCCGACCCCATCAACTCGGACTCCACTGGGGAGGCCTCTAGAGGAGGACCAGGGACTTCGAAAGTGGGCTGGGGCAGGGGGTGTCGGCCCGACCATCTAAATACCCTCCCCCGCCCATCCTCTCGAACCCTCGGGGAGGGGGGGAGTTAAGCGCAGGGTGCGGGCAAACAGTTGGGTAATATTCGGCAAACCGCACGTATGGACAGGTAGGGAACCGATTTTTCGTCGTCGTCGCTGCCGGTGCAAGATCGGCCCCGGCACTGCTACATGTTCAGTCGTTGTTGCCTTTAGGGTCTCCTGGCGAGCCCTCGCCACCGTGATTGGATTCGCCTCGGAATCCTGGTCAGAACGCACTCCGAGTGTGGTTCGGAGATCATTGGAACCGGTGTTTTCTTACACCCTCCTTTTCGAGGAGGGAGGAGCGAACGATTTGGACGCCCGACATGGGTACCGAAAAAATGGGTACGATGCCCAACAACAAATGTTGTCCCAAACCAACAGCGGCCGCTGTTGGGCAGGCGGCCTTCTGTCTCGAATCGACACAGGCCGCGGCGGCGTGGACAGCGAGTCCTGTTCAAAATGAACAAGAACCGCTGTTGGGCATTGTACCCATTCTTTCCGTACCCACTTCGGGCGTCCAGAAACGAGGTTCGATCGTTACGCATTTGTTGTGCGTTTCTGGCGCATTTCTTTGAGGCTGTTTTTTGGAGGGTTCGGCGATCGCCCGGGTTATCGGGCCCGCCCGCCGCCGCCGCCTCTGCACCCTCGCTTATACCCTGACCCGGTCGTTTGCGCAGGCCCGAAGGCCATCGCCCGCCAAAGAATCCCAACACAACCCGAAGGCTTCAAGCTGCCCTCCAGTCCCAGTGGTGGGGGGGTCGGGGAGCACAGAAAGCGCCTGTGGAACCCCCACCCCCCCCGAGCCGACATTTGGGTCTTCGGGTTTGGTGGGGAAGGGGGCAGGTAAAGGAGGATGACGATTAATAAATGACCAGGGGTCGTGTTCACGCGGCGGCGCCTGGGATGACGATTAGAAAAAACCGGCCGCGGGCTGGAAATTATTCAGAAATAGCAGAAAACTATTTTAAAATCGTTCTCTCCAATTTGTTGTATTAATCGTCATCCCGCATTAGGTAGTCAGAAGGGGGTACTCAGCACTGGTGCGCGCGGGCATGCGCGGGGCTGCCCACAGGGTTACAGTCAAAACCTTAATAAGGACGCGCGACTTGCTGCTCAGGGTACCCTTTGCGTCCTTACTCTTCCTTGCTCTTGCGTCCTTGAGGTGTTCGTCGTCCGCCGCCCCAAAAGTCCCAACTTCGGCTTCCAAGGGTCGTGCGTCCTCACCGCGCGTCCTTATTAGGGTTTCTGACTGTAGGTTATCGGCTGGCACCTCCACCCTGGCGGATGACCAGGCCATCGCCAAAGCATCACACCTCCGCGCCTCCGGGATGCTTCTCGTGGCCACGCGTGGACCCGCCGCGAGATCCTGACCGGAGCGCAAGGCCTTTCGTGCGGGGGGGGGCGGCGACTCGCGAGGCCCCGACCCAGGGCTCTCTGGAGGAGGGACCAGGATCGAGGATCGAGGATCGAGGAGGGAGGAGGATCGATGATCGAGGAGGGGGCAGGATCGATGAGGGGGAAGGATCGAGGATCGAGACTCTCGCTCGTTTTATTTGTTTGTTTTTCTGTTTCTTTTTTCTTTCTGAGTCTCCAGGAAGACTTGCGTCGCCGGGCTTGGATTTCAGAGGAGGAAGAGGTCGTCCTGAAACTCCCTTCGAAGTTCTGGCCACACAAGCGCACCCCGTGGGCCGATCTTCGAGGAGGAGGAGGAGGGGGGATCGAAAGAGAGGGCCGTGGGGGTTGGAGGAGGAAGGACGAGGAGGAAGGAGGAAGGCAGAAGGGGAGATGAGGGGGGGGATAATGAGCCGAGGGAGCGAAGGGGCTGCAGGAGGAGGAGGAGGAGGAGGAGGAGGAGGAGGAGGAGGAGGGGAGGAAAGACAGGGATGAGGGAGAAGAGGAGGAAGGCAGAGCAGGGCGGAGGAAGGGAGGCCCCCCGAGCCCCCCGCCACGGACAGACCTCGGGACGGCCAGCCGCCCGCAGGCCCTCGGCCCCGCGATGGACCCCGCGAGCGGGGGAGACTTCTACAGCTACAGCGGCGGCTTCACCACCCCCGACCTGGGCTGCGCGGGCGCCGGCGCCTCTGCATGCCCGGGGGGGGAGGAAGGAGAAGGAAGGGAGAAGGAAGGGAGAAGGAAGGAGGAGGGAGGAGGAAGGAGGAGGAGGAGGAGGAGGAGGAGGAGAGGAGGAGGAGGAGGAGGAGGAGGAGGAGGAGGAGGAGGAGGAGGAGGGGAGGAGGAGGAGGAGGAGGAGGAGGAGGAGGAGGAGGAGGAGGAGGAGGAGGAGGAGGAGGAGGAGGAGGGAGGAGGAGGAGGAGGAGGAGGAGGAGGAGGAGGAGGAGAGGAGGAGGAGGAGGAGGAGGAGGAGGAGGAGGGAGGAGGAGGAGGAGGAGGAGGAGGAGGAGGAGGAGGAGGAGGAGGAGGAGGAGGAGGAGGAGGAGGAGGAGGAGGAGGAGGAGGAGGAGGAGGAGGAGGAGGAGGAGGAGGAGGAGGAGGGAGGAGGAGGAGGAGGAGGAGGAGGAGGAGGAGGAGGAGGAAGGAAGAAGAAGAAGAAGAAGAAAGAAGAAGAAGAAGAAGAAGGAGGAGGAGGAGGAGGAGGAGGAGGAGGAGGAGGAGGAGGGAGGAGGAGGGAGGAGGAGGAGGAGGAGGAGGTGGGAGGAGGAGGGAGAAGGAAGGAGGAGGGAGGAGGGAGGAGGGCGGGAGGGAGGGAGGGAGGGAGGGAGGGAGGGAGGGAGGGAGGGAGGGAGGAGGAAGGGAGGGAGGGAGGGAGGAGGGAGGGAGGGAGGGAGGAGGAGGAGGAGGAGGAGGAGGCGGAGGAGGCGGAGGAGGAGGAGGAGGAGGAGGAGGAGGAGGAGGAGGAGGAGGAGGAGGAGGAGGAGAAGGGGAGGAGGGAGGATCAGAAGGAAGAAGGAAGGGAGAAGGAAGGGGAGGAAGGGCGCCAGCGCCTCTGCAGGCCCGGGGGGAAGGATGAGCCTTGAGATCCTGGCGCCGCCTTCTTGTTCACGCCCGGCGGCGGTTTCGCCCCATACCTCGTGGGAGCAAAGACGGCATAAACCAACGTTTTTCACGCTCCGCGCGGATTTTTTTGATCTGCGCCGGGCCCTCCTGGCGGCGCCTCCGGCGCCGCTCAGGGGGGGTCCAGCGCCGATCCAAGAAGTCCGCGTCGAAAGTTTCTACGTTTGTGCCGGTGATTGTTCTTCCAATTTCGCCCCATACCTCGGGCCTTGGTGCCCTCGCGGTTCGATCCAGTTCGAGGCATGCTGCGGGAAGATGGGGTCTGGAGCCCAGGTCGTTTTTCACGGTGTTGCATTTTTTTCGTGAGGCCAGGTCTCAGGGAAGGAGGAAGGAGGAGGAAGAAATTGGAGGGGCAGGGTGAGGTGCCCCTCCTCCTCCTCCTCCTCCTCCTCCTCCTCCTCCTCCTCCTCCTTGTCTCCGATCGAAGAGTAATAGCTTTACGAAAGCAAATGTTAACCAGCGTGGGCCCCAAACCTTGTGCTTCGACTGGACGGCGTCCGGGCGAGCTGCGTGCAGCGACCGGGAGGAAAGAGATGCATTCATGTTGAATGGGGCCCGTGCGGGCGGAAAGTTTATTGGAGTGGGCCAGACAGTGCAGGACCCGTCTTTGGAAGTTGATGACCGGACCCCCTTCCCCTGTAGAGTCTCAACACGGGCGGGTTCGGAGTCCGCGGACCCGATTTCATTCAGTTCCCCGTTTAGATTTTGTAGCATGAATTTAACAGGAGTAGAAAACGGATCCGCTTAACAAAAATAATTAGGACCGGGCGTGTAAGCAACAATTCCGAAATCGGATCCGCGCGGACGGCAGACGGATCCACCGAAACAGGAGCCACAACCAAAATGGTATCCGCTCGAACTTTATTGGAACCGACGGTGGTTATCTCATACGCGTCTGCCCAAGACTTCAAACCGTCGTTCCGGTCCCAAGAGGACCAATTTTTCTCAAAGGGGAATGGCGTCTTTGCCTTCGGACTTGTTGGTTACCACATAGCCGACACCACATCCCACTAGAGTCCCCCCGCCACGTGCAGTCAGCCAGCCGAGACGTCCTCGCAACAAAAGAAATATGACATCGTGCCTTTGACTCGTGGTCTCCGCATGCTCGTTCGGAGGCAGACCCCGCGCGGGTGACCCTGATGTGGGGCGGTCAAGATGCGCGACGATGAAACCCGCGCCGAGCGCGAGGTGCCGCACAATCGTGTGAGACAGCGCGCAGGCAGTCCGTTGGGTCAGGAGACGCAGGGCCGAAACGCACTTACGCAGGACGAGCGGTTGTCCTCTTGACATGCAAATGACGATGATGAGTTCGCGAGATCACATCAGCGCCGCCGAACGGAAAGCCTCTCGACGAGCTGCGTGCAGCAACGGCGAGGGGAGATACGTATTCATGTTGAGTGGGGCCCGCGCGCGCGGAAAGTTGATTGGAGTGGGCGAGACAACGCAGGTCCCATCCTGGGAATTCGATGACCGAGCCCCCCTCCCCCGTAGAGTCTCAACACGGGCGTGTCCAGGGGTCAGCGGACCTGGTTTCATTCAGTTCCCCGCTTCGATGTAATAACGTGAACTTAACACGGGTTAGGAATCGGATCCCCCGTGAAAAAAACGATCCAGCGTGGAACCAGAAAGTCCGACATCGGATCCGCGCGGACGGAAGACTGATCCACCAAAGCAGGAACCAAAACCAACATCGGATCCACGCGGATTTCATGGGATCCGACGGCGGTTATCTCATACGCGTCTGCTCAAGAGTTCAAGCCGTCGTTCTGGGCCCAAGAGGAAAGTGTGTCGCCCGGGGGATGTATCAACATATGTGGAGCAATCCGTGTGAAACAATGTACGTGGTGCAATTCATTTTGTGCAGATAATGTTGTGCACTACGACTTGCAGGTCATGTTGTGCAATAGTCGAGGACGGGGTATGTACGTGGCGCAGTTTGTGTGATCCAACCTTTGCGGAACAGTATATGTGGTGCAAGGGTTGCGGTGCACTTCGCCCTGCCGAGCTTGAAGTTGTCAGCTCGGAGGCTCCACTGCTCGCGCAAACCCGCAACTTTGTTTGCGAAACCCATGCGGTGGCGTTTGCGATGACTGTTTGGCGCTGGCTGGCGGCTCGCTGCGGCCGCACTAGCGCGCGCAGGATCGCGCGCAAAGTGGCCAGCTAGTCTGGCGCGGCCGACTCGAACGCGGTGGCGCTGGTCTCTTGGCAATTCCCGGCGCGTCTCGCAGGCTGCGCTGCATCGTGGGCGTTACGCAGTATGCTTTGGTTTTACTAGGTGTTTAAACTTCAAAATTCAAATAAACAAAAGGAAGTAACACACTGAAAGAAAACAAAAGACACTGCGCGCGCGCTCTTGCGAATTCTGATGACAGGAATGGGCTGGCCACATTTTCATCAAACGCGATCAAATGTGTTCTCGCGCGCGCGTGTCCAAATCATTCGAACGCCCTTGCGCGCGTGCTCAAGGCTCAGGGGGGGGAATACGATCCCTGTCACATAATACCATGTGGACCACGCGTGCCCGTCGGACGCGCGTGCATGTTTCAATCTTGCCAGATCACTCCCCGCCGACAAGTGGACATCGTCGGCGTGACCAGTATCGGCGCCGTCATTGGCCTTGCCGTGCGTGGCATGGTCTGCGCTCATATGGAAACATATCGATGGGGCAGACTTGTATGTACATTGCACATCCCTGAGGGGACAGTCCTGGGCGGGGGGGACATACAAAAGGATAATATACGTGGTGCCGTAAGTTTTGAAGAACTTGGGGTTGCCATTCCTACTGCGCGCGCCATTATCCCACCCACCCGCCCGCAACTATGTTTGCAAAAACCATGCGGCGGCGATTGCGATGACAGCTTGGCGCTGGCTGACGCCTCGCTGCGGCCGCGCTAGCGCGCGCAGGCTCGCGCGCACAGCGGCCAGCTGGTTTGGCGTGACTGGCGCAGCCGCGGTGGCGTTGACGGAGGGGCATTTCCTAGCGCGTCTCGCAGGCTGCGGTGGCGCGCGGGCGTTTCAGCGCGATGGGGGCCCATTTGTGACGATGATGACAATGACGACGGCAAGGCCAACGACGGCGCCGGTGCTGATGTTGCCGATGACGTTGATGGTGTCCACGTGTCGTCGATGAATGTGTTGGAACGAATTCGACGCGCGCGCCGCCGACGCGGGCGATTGGCCCCGATGGTGTCATTTGAAAGGGACCGTGCCCCCCAAACACGCGCGCAAGGGCGTTCGAATGACTTTGACACATGCGCGCGAGAAGCCCGTTTGACCGGGTTTGATGATAATGTTGAAAATTTTTGGTTTGCACACGAATTTGAAAGAGTACGGGAGTTTTTGGTTCGTGCATCTTAACATTCAGCATGACATCGATGAATGCGTGTCCTTCCGCTGCCAACGATCGGGAACAATCCTTCGTCCCGCCTCCGAAAGTTCCCCGCCCGCCTTTCCGGAACCGGGCCCCCCCCCTCTTTCCGGCGAGTTCCCGCTCCCTCCTCAATGCCCTTGCGCCCCCTTGCAAGTCGGGGGGGCGGGGATAAAAAGGGGGGGTCGCAATGCCGACCCAGGAACTCCGCGCGACTCTCACAACGCTTTCCCCCAAAAGAGCTTGCCCTTAGGGCTTCTGACTTCTGTTCTAAGGAACTGGGCCGGTTTGGCGGTCTGGTGGCTACGTTGTCGCCGTCGCCGCCCCGTCGCCGCCCCGTCGCCGCCCCGTCACCGCCGCGTCGCCGCCCGTCGTCTGGGCTTGTGCTGCCCTAGCTGACACTTCTCTTTTCATGAGCATCATGTTGCCATGGTGTCTCGCGCCCTCCGTCTCCGCTTGCGGGGCGAGGTGCCTCCATGGGCTCCTCTGGCAGACTTGAGTTGCTTTGGCCAGGGTTCAGGTTCCAGGGTAAGGGGGGGGATTGTGCCACCAGCGCAGCGTGCGCAGGGGTTCGGACGGGCCTGGGACGAGGAGAGATCCGCCCCAGAGCGTTCCAGAACGCTCCCGGAGCGTTCGGGAACGCTCCGAGAGGGCCGCCCGAAACATCCTCCAGAGGCGCCGGATCTCAGTGATTCTCGACTCATCCTCACCCGAATTTGTCTTCGTCCTGGCTTCGTCGTAGGGGGCTTCGGCCACCAGCGCAGCGTGCGCAGGGGCTGCTCTCCCACCGGCGGTAGCAGTGTTGCGGCAGTGCGGGGCCCTGACCAGGAGGGAGCATTCGTTGCTGCCTACAGCTCGGTGTCGGGCGCAGGAGGGGGCGACTGGTGCGGCAGGAGACGGCCAAGCCTCCCGCTTGCAGCCCGCAGCAAGCCTAGAGTTGGCCCGCAGCAAGCTCTCCCCAGCTTCTGGTTGCAGCGTGTGGTTCCTCAACTCCAGCGGGCAAAAACTCCGACGGGGAAATCAGAGGCCTGTTGCTGGCGCGCAGCATGGAGCAACGCTGGGGGAGTTTGCGGGCGATGCGCCCTTTGGTTGGCCCAGGAGCTCGGCATTATCCCCCCGAAAGGTCTCCGCTGATGGGCGCCCCCTCCCCCACCGATCAAAGTTTTGTGACTTGCGAGTCCTTCTCATCGGGGCTGCCCTAAGCTGACCTGCTTCTTCTGCTCTTCATTAGCGTCCTCCTCCTCACATCCTCTTCCTTCTTTGCTCCTTCCCTCCTCATCCTTATTGTGCCTTCCTCCCCCTTCCTCCCCCCCACTCTCATCCTCCCATCCCTCTCTCCTCAGTTAGTTCCTCCCCTCCTTTCACTCCTCTTCTTCCTCCCTCCCTTCGCCTCCTCTCGTGCGCACGCGCGCGCTCTCCCCGAGGCCGGCATTGGCAATGGGGGAACACCGCCACGATCGAACAGCAACAGTCCGCCAGAGGTCTTTGGCTGGCAGAGGGGCCTCCCAGCCTGCCGAGAGCCTGAGGTCGTGAAGTGGCTCATCTTCACGTCGCCCATGAGCATGGACCAGTCGCAGGTGGGCCTTCCGCGATGATGCCGCCCGTGCCCAGGGAGGACGGGCACAGGGAGCGGAGGAGCGATCCTCCTTTTGCTGCTTCTCAGTCGTTGCCCTCCTCCTCCTCCTCCTCCTCCTTTTCCTCGTCCCTTGCACTGCTACTCCTCCCTCCTTCTCTTCCTGCCTCGCACTCCACCTTCTCCTCGTGCTCCTTCTTCCTCCTTCTCCTCCCTTCCTCCTCTTCCTGGTCATCCCCTTCCTGGTCCGACAATGTATGGCTGCTGGCGATGCGTCGAGAGCTGGTGTTTCTGGGGACCACGAAGGGCTTCAAAGTGGAGACTCGCAGATGTACATGGTCGAGAGTTTCATATTCGTCAGCCTCTGCTCATGCGCACCACCATCATGTTGAATTGGCTGCTTCGCTCGAGCAAGTGTTTCGGTTGCCTCCACCGCCATGTATTTCATTTGCCGCCAGCAAGCGGACGCACCCCGAACTGCGTGTCGGGTGCCCCCAGAGGTTCTTCTAGGCCACTGGATGCCTCCATATTTCCAACAGGGGCCACGCACGCTTCAAATTCTCGATCCTCGTCGCTCTGCCGCCGCGCCCGCTGGAATGTGGAAGTCGCTGCATTGGGGTCCCTAAGCTCGCGGTGGGACCATGGAATTCTCATGCGCATATTTTTGTTCGCACCAGTGCTTGAGCACACGCACGGAGGCGTGCTTGAGCGTCGGATTGAGCCTCTGTGCCGGGAAAGAGAGGCTGCGGTCGCCCTCTCAGGCACGAACGTGTTTGGAGCCACGTCGGGGTGGCCGCCGCTGCCGCTGCCTCCGCCCTCCGATCCACGTTCTGCTGCGAGGCCTGGAGCGATCGATCCCCCCCTGAGCCGCTCGCTACGTCCGCCCCTTTTGCGGCCGCGCCTCCCCCCTCTCCTCTTGTCTTGCATGGTGGCACAATTGCCTCTCTCGCGAGGCCTCGGCGGGTGCTCCAGGCCCCCTCCTGGGCCTCTTGGCTGCCTCTGGGGATCTGCGCGGAGAGACCTCCTCCTCCTCCTCCTCCTCCTCCCTCCTCCTCCTCCTCCTCCTCCTCCTCCTCCTCCTCCTAGCCGTTTCGGCTCGAGCTGATTGTGTGAAAAGCTCGAGCTTGTGCCCGCGTACTTCGAAGCGGCTCGTGGGCACGAGCCTTCCATTCTTCACGAAGGAGCCAAGCGTCTGCGGGAGGCGGCGCATGGTTCCCCAGCCCGATGTGCTGCCAGGCGCTCGCACCCCCTACTGGGGGTGCTCCTGCGGCTGCTGGAACAACTGGGCGAGTCGGATCAAGTGCAGGAGCTGCGGGGCATCGGCACCTGCGAAGGTGGTACAGGCGGCGCGCAGGGCTGCCGCGGCTGTCAAGAGCCCTTCGGTCTCGGTCAAGCCACAGGCTCAGGGCGCCTGGGCCGACGGGCCGCCAGGAGGGGCAGTGGCGGCCGAGCAGGCGAGGATCATCCAGGAGTTGCGTGTCAAAGTGGCGGAGCTCAGCGGCAAGCCAGCGCCGCCAGCGCCCCCATGGCACCAGCAGCCTGCGGGCACCAAGGCCAAGGGCGGCGGCAAGGGGCAGGGCCCAGCTGGAGGCGGTCCGCCGAAGGCCAAGGGCGAGGTGCCAGCGCCTGCTGCGGGGCTCTCCCACGAGCAGGTGGCGGAGTTCCTCAAGAGTGAGGGCCTTGAGGACGCCCATGCTGCTGTCTTGGCGGCTGCGCAGACTAAGGCCGTGGCGCCGCCCAAGCCGCCCACCACCATGTCTGCCTGGTGGAAGGTGGAGAACCTCAAGAAGAATATCCAGAAGGCAGAGGCCCGCTGCGTCGACATCAATGCGCAGAGGGCAGCCCTCGATGAGGAGCTTGACGGCACCCAGAAGGGGATCGACCAGGCCAAGGCGGACCTCGTCGAAGCCCGTGGCGTGCTGGCGAAGCTCCAGGCAGGAGAGCACGAGAACCCTCTCAAGGTGCTCATGGCGGGGCTGGAGCCTGCGGTGCTGTCAGCGCAGGAAGGCAAGGACGCCCTTGCTGTCCTTGAAGGGCTCCAGCGCCAGGCGGCTGCGGAGGCTGAGGCAGCCAAGCAGGCGGCAGAGGCTGAGGCCAGTCGCCCAGGCCCTCGTGGCGATCCTGATGCTGGTGGTCAGGCAGTGGATGCCCCTGATGCTGGAGGTGAGCACCAGGCCGTTCCCATGGACGAGACCGACTTCCTGGAGGCTGACTTCCAGGAGCCCCTCAAGCGGGCCATGGGCGGCGAGGGGGACACGTCTGCAGCCGTGGCCAAACTGCTCGCCGAGCACGCGGCCAAGAAGGCGCGGCGAGGGTGACGGCCTAGTGCGTGTTGATGCCGCCCCAGTGGCGTCTGGTGCTCCCGAGCCAGCGGCGAGGGCGAACCTAGGCATGGCCGGCCTCGACGCCTTCGCAAGGGGCAACATGATCGACTTCGACTGGGAGCAGGCGACGGGCTTCGCAGTCCCAGCGCTGAGGGGCGACCTTGTCTTCGACACGGGGCTGTTCCGCCAGTTCGACGGGGTCGGTCTGGACCCACGGCAGTGGCCTCGCCTGGGCCACGAAGCTTCGGACAGAGACGGACGGTCTCGCGAAGCTGCCCCCCCTCGGGTCGAGGACCCTCGAAGAGGGTCAGGGCCAGGGACATCGTCTTCTGGGTCGACCTCGACCCCGACGGCATCACTTTCTCTTATGTCGCGCGAGGTGGGACCCCTCGGTCGCAACGGGGCTGGGGGCCTTCCCCGCGAGTCCACAGCTCCTACGGGTACCACCTCGGGGTCGGCGGCTCCCTCGTCTTCGGGCACCGCGTCGGGTGGTAGTGCCAGGGCGGCTGGTGGCGCACCTGCAGTGCGGAAAGGCCCGCACCACCTCTCCTCCCCACCCGTTCATGGACATGGTGAGTTGCAGGCTTGCGTCGCATCTGGAAGTGATGGGCCTTGTGTTCTCGATGGGGGCCTGGGCGATTTCATGGAAGGATGTGGCGGTCTGCTTCCACCTGCGGCAGGAGCAGCTGGGTGTCAAGCTAGCCCTGACGGTGCTCAAGGAGGCACACCCTCTGTGCGGAAAGGGCTGCACCATCTCTCGTCCCCACCTGGCGACGGACGCGGAAAGGGAAAACTAGGTCAGGGCGGCGCGGCTCGTGGAGTCGGCCACTCGGTCACGATCGTCAGCGATCTGATCATTTTTGGTGTGAACGCGAACACGTGGGACTCGTTCACCAATGTGGTTGACTGGTGTAAGGACCAGGAAGCGAACCTTTTCGGCGTGGCGTCGGCTTCAGGCGAACCAGTCAAGCCGCATGTGATCTGTGTACAAGAGACTCGGCTGAAGGAGAAGGGTAAGTTGGACTCCGCCTACGGCTGGGGTGGTCGCCGCTCCTTCGCGCTTTCTCTAGGACCAGCAGCGTCCACAGGAACAGGTCCGACGCAGTCCTCGGCAGGAGTAGGCTTGGCAGTGGCCAGCTCCCTGGCGTCTTCTAGTGTGCCATGGCCGCCCGAGTTGGAATCTTTCAAGTCGCGCGTGGCAAGCAGGCACATCAACGTAGGACTTCCAGGTGGGTTGATGGTTTTCTCGGTCTACCTCTACACCAGCATTGGCGTAACAGGGGACAATGTTGAGTTATTGAACACTCTCGGCGAGTACATCAAGTCCCTCACTTGCCTCTGGATTGTGCAAGGTGACTGGAACCTTACTCCTGAAGAGCTTGAAGCATCGGAATGGGTGTCCAAGGTTGGGGGCTGTATGTTTACGACGGGCCACGCTACGTGTAGAGCAGGGCCCGCTCCAGTAACTAGTTCGGGGCCAGAGGAGGAGGTCGACAGGAAGGATGAGCGGGAGATCGATTTCTTCGTGGGGTCCAGGTGTTTAGGGCACTGCGTCAAGGATGTCCTGGCGTTCCCAGCAGCCCCTTCGTGGCCTCATATGCCTGTGGGTATCGTCGTCAAGAACCTGGCCCCGTCGGCGGTCGTCCCGAAGCAGGTTAGATATATGCAGTTCCCCCTGGACAAGCTCGTGGGTCCTCGGAGGCTCCCTACTGGAAGCACGTGGTCTTGGGAAGTCGGAGGTGGCTCGCACTGTTTGGGGTCCATGGTCAGGGAATGGTTTACCCAGGCTGAGGGCTGGCTCACGCAGTTCCACGACCTAGACAGTGCTAGCGCTGCCAGGATGTGTGGAAGAGCTGGGGGCCCTAAGGTCATAAAGATTCCCCTCGAGACGGTTTGGGACCGAGAGTCTAGGAGGAGATATTCAAAGCGGACCACCAGTTGGATGTCCTTCGAGGCGTTGGCTCGTCGTGCAGCTGCAGTTGGCCAAGATCTGCTAGGAGCCAGAGCACGCGGTCTTTTTCACGAATGGTGTGCCGCCCTGTTCGGGATGATCTCGGCGCTGGAGGCGCCAGACGAAGGCGCGAATGCCCGCTTTTTGATCAGCCTAGTAGAAGGGATATCCATGGGGCTCAGAGAGGAGTTAGAAGGGCTGTTCGGGCAGTTACGAGAGTATGTTGAAGGCCTGCGCAAGTCGGACGCCAAGGAGTCCCTGTCGGAGTGGAAGGAGTGGGCAAAGTCGTCAGTGCAGCGGGGAGGGAAGGCAGCTCATGCTTATTCCAGGGTCTCTCGTGCAGACAGGACGGTCCCGTTCAGTGTCGTAGACGACCATGGCCGCTTGCCAGTCAACGGTGAGCTTGCGCTCCTCCAGCTTCTCGATCAATGGCTTCCCCTTTGGCACAAAGAAGGCAGGCTCAGCAAAAATCACCCAGCTCATTGGGATGTGTTGGGACAAGAATTGCCACCTATATCTTTGGAGCAGTTGAGGCGTGTGTGTAACTCGTATGGGGAAGGGGCTGGTCTTGGGTGGGACTCCTTCCACCCCCGCCAGATCTTGTTTCTTCCAGAAGAATATCAATTGCGTGTTATCGACATCCTCCACTCGTTCGAAGATCGACCTTGTGTGATTGCAGAGTTTTTGACGAATATCATCTTCCTTGACAAGCCAGATGGTGGAGTACGC